GTTTATACATCAGGAAGGATAATACTGGTTTTGGACAGACTCTTAATGTATCTTTCTAAACTACAGAAACAAAGAGAAAAAAGCATGTTTAAAGGGTAATGCAGTGGCTGCATTATTCCAGACCCCTCCGAATTTTTACATATCCCAAAAGAAGTCATGTGGTATTGTTTCTGCTCCTTGATTGGCCAACTGGACTTTTTCAAACAGGAGATCAACCCCTAGAGAAAAGCTAGGAAGGAAGGCTGTAGCTGTGACTGCCGTTCTCAGAGGCACTCATTCCCGCCAGAATTCGTGACGTCTGGGGGACTTCCAATCATGTTTTTGAATCCCCAGCAATTATCTAGGCAATGCAAACTCATCAAGCAGCGATAACCCGGCTAGCTGACTCTATTAACAATGATTCATGAATCAGGTGGGGGAAAGGAGATGATCCCCATTATGTGGCCAGCTCCATCATAGACTCTTAGAACTGGAAGGAACTTTGAGAGGTCATCAGATAAATAAAAATGAACATGAAAATAACGCAGAGAACACAACAAAACTCTGAACAGCAATTCGGGCCCTCGAGTAAATTGTTGGATGGGAGCTGACTTAGTGGCATTGTGTCTTTGGATGTCCCATGATGCACTGTGCCTTTGGGTTTTCTATGGTGCTTCGAATGTGTAGGCGTCTGATGGATTCCCAACCTGCACGCCTCACAATGGTCGCTCCGATGCGGTCCATGGGGCCATCCTGATACGGTAACCTCAGCTAGCTGGCTGTGGTCCACGAACTCACCATAACATTTCTCCCTGATGCTGTTGACCAAGTGCGCCAATATCCTCCTGACGCTTTCCTCCTGGAAATGTGGCTTTTCTAAATTGCCCTCAGAACACTCATAACATTCTTGTCGAAAGACTCTCATCTTCACCCGACTTTTCCTCCTGTGCGGGTCCAGGTACATGTGGAACAGGACCACCACTTGAGCGGATGACCAGGAATGGTGGCAGCGAGAGCACTGGAAGCTAAAAAGAGGAAGGAGATACAGCATGCATAAGGCCACCAGGCGTCCTGATATTACTGGGATCGTCCCGATATTGGGGGAGTTGTCTTATAAAGGCAACTATTACCTCCCAAAATTGCCTCCATAATTGGCAGCTCCAGCAGGTGCCTGGCTGGGGGAGCTGTTGCCTGCAGACCAGAGAAGTCCTCCTACCCCTCCTGCCTAAGCTCAGCATGGGATGGGTTGATCCCACTACAGCAACCAACCAGCAGCCCCTGCTACCAAACTCAAGGCTCAGTAAAAACATGGGGCCAACTTCAGATCTGGCCTAGGCAGGTGTCACACTCCCCAGGTTGCGTCCACCAGGCCTTATTTTTAATGCATTTCAATGTCATTCCAGGTTCAGATATGTCCAAGGGACCCTTGTGAGCATCTGCCCTGATGAACTGTACAACACGAGCCAGGGAGGGGCCCTACAATCATTCCTGGAGCAGAGCTTTTAGGGACCCTTCCCTGCGTGATCTCCAAATTGGCAGCGATGGAGAGTCCACCACCACCCTGGGCAAGTGGTCCCAATGGTCAATTATTCAGAGTGTTAAAGATGTCTCCATCTTATTTCCGGTCTGGCTCGAGCTCCAGGCTCTCGCCATTGGATCATGCTGGGGCTTTCTCTTCCAGTGGCCTCAGTGGTAAATATTTGTTCCCTGTGTAAATAGTTTGTAAAGCTACGTAGGTGGAGATCTTGCAACTGTGCCACTGGCCGCTGTGGCTGCTAACCCTTTAATCATTCTTGGGGCTCTTCGCTAGCCCTCTCCAATCAGTGTCCCTCTTCTATGGTGGGCGGAGCTGTCCCTCCCCAGCCCCTGCATTTTTGGGGGCCCCAGAGTGGCCGTCCCAACCGTCCTATGGACAGGAGGGTGCCAGGGGATGATGGGTCTCTGGTGCAGGGCAACAGCAGGAGTCACCCTCTGCACTCACCACATTGGTGGTGGGGGCTGGAGTGGGCTGCCAGCCTGCTCCGCCTTGCTCCTGCTCCGCCTTGCTGCACTGCCCTTTGCCAGCCCGCTCCACCGCCCTCTCTCATCCCTCTGCACCCATCCCGCCCCCAGCCTGCTCTCCCCCACCGCCCCGCCTTCCCCCAACCCGCTCCACTCCATCCTCTCCCATCCCGCTCCATCCCACCGCACCGCCCTCTCCCATCCCTCTCCATCCCACCACACCGCCCTCTCCTATCCCGCTCCATCCCACCCCCCTCCCCACCGCCCTCTCCCATCCCGCTCCGTCCCACCGTACCGCCCTCTCCCATCCTGCTCCATCCCACCGCACCTCCCTCTCCCATCCCGCTCCATCCCACCGCACCGCCCTCTCCCATCCCGCTCCATCCCACCGCACTGCCCTCTCCCATACCTCTCCATCTCACCGCACCGCCGCCCCCCCTCCCCCCAGGTCCCACCGTACCGCCCTCTCCCATCCCGCTCCATCCCACCGCACTGCCCTCTCCCATCCCTCTCCATCTCACCGCACCGCCCTCTCCCATCCCGCTCCGTCCCACCGTACCGCCCTCTCCCATCCTGCTCCGCCCCGTGCCCCACCTTCTCCCAGCCTGCTCTACCCCACCGCCCCACCTTCCCCCAGCCCGCTCCGCTCCATCCTCTCCCATCCCGCTCCATCCCACCGCACTGCCCTCTCCCATCCCTCTCCATCTCACCGCACCGCCCTCTCCCATCCCGCTCCGTCCCACCGTACCGCCCTCTCCCATCCTGCTCCATCCCACCGCACCGCCCTCTCCCATCCCGCTCCGTCCCACCGTACCGCCCTCTCCCATCCCGCTCCATCCCACCACACCGCCCTCTCCCATCCTGCTCCGCCCCCTGCCCCACCTTCTCCCAGCCTGCTCTACCCCACCCCCCCACCTTCCCCCAGCCCGCTCCGCTCCATCCTCTCCCATCCCGCTCCATCCCACCCCACCACCCTCTCCCATCCCGCTCCATCCCACCCCACCACCCTCTCCCATCCCGCTCCATCCCACCCCACCACCCTCTCCCATCCCGCTCCATCCCACCCCACCACCCTCTCCCATCCCGCTCCATCCCACCCCCACTCCACACCACCCTCTCCCATCCTGCTCCACACCGCCCTCCCCCATCCCGCTCCATCCCACCGCACTGCCCTCTCCCATCCTGCTCTGCACCACCCTCTCCCACTCCTTTCATTACAATGTATGCACTGCTGGGCATGCCGGCCTGTATCAATACACCGCAGCTTCTAAATAGCATGCGCGAGAGAGGCTACAGAACCCCAACCAAAAAGTAAACTGCTAACATGGCAGCCCCACTTGCAGAGATGGGGGTGGGGAGAAAAGGGGCGGGTGGTGGCTGGAAAAGAAAAGGAAGCAATTTTGAAAGCAGAGGTTGTGTTTAAAGCAGGGCTGGGGAACCTTTTGGGGTTGGAGGCTTCTGACCCACAGAAAAATGAGTCGAGGGTTGCACACAAGCGAGAAGCAAAGGGAAAAAAACACCTGATGTGACCCTCAACTGAGAAGCAGAAAGACACTTCCCATATTCCCCCGCACACCAGAGCCTCGGGGGGGCCAGGCTACTAGATTTTGTGTGCTCCAGCCCCACGATGAGGTGATGGGGGAGGGCAGGAGTACCAGTGCGAGATCACAATGCTGAGAGAGGAGCTCTAAACCTTGGCGGCTGGATCCAGGCAAGTCGGAGGCCACATCCGGCCCCTTAGCTTCTCCACCTCTAATTTAAAGGCATCATTAATTCCAAGACAGAATTAAAGCATTCATATATTTGCTTCTACGCCTACACACACACAAACACACACACAAACACACGCACGCACACACACACACACGCACACACACACACACACACACACACACGCACACACACACACACGCGCGCACACACACGCACACACACACGTGGCATGCGTCACTGAATGCAGATCGTTTGTTAATGACTAAGGAGGTGGTGGTATGTGTGAAGTCTTAAAGGAATTCCCAGCGGCCCTAACAACCGCTTCTCCTCACCTGGCGAATGCGTGTTCTTGCACCGACTGCACCCAACCCGGTTCCAGGACATTGTAATCCAGGTCCTGGTGCATCGTTAGGTCCCACTTGTCCTGTGGCTTCACCTCATCTATCTTCTCATAAAACATTTCTCTCCAAGAATCCATGGTCAGCGTCTGCATCTCGCCCGACGGCCGTGTGGACAGTCAGAGGGTACCAGATGGCAAATGGAGTTTCCAATGGATTATTTCTCCCTTGTGTCTCATCACCTGCTGGGTGGCAGGATGGGCACTGGAGTTCCTTGTCCTGCCACTTGTATTCACTGCTAGAGATACCGGACAAACAGCCAGCTACTGTGGGTGCGAGAAATGAAACTGAAAGGAGTTTTGTTTCCCGAGCCAATCTGCTTCCTGAGTTTCTGGGGGTTGTTGGGAACACTCCAACTATTCTGTGATTAGGACCCTTCCAAATTCACAGCCATGAAATATGTGGCATGGCCCATGAAATCTGTCTTTTGTGTGCTTTTAGCCTACTCTGTACAGATTCCACAGGGGGAGACCAGCCAGGCGGTCCTGACCAAATAGGGAGTTAGTTGTGGGAGGGTTGCACAGTTATTTTAGAGAGGGTCACAATATCGCCCCCTTCCTTCTGTGCTGTCTTCAGAGCTGGGTGGCCCAAAAGCAGCCGCTGCTGGCCAGGCACCCTGCCAGCAGCTGCACAGAGGTAAAGGTGGCAATACCATACCATGCCACCCTTACTTCTGCAGTGCTGCCGGCAGCAGCTCTGCCTTCTGAGCTGGGCTCGCAGCCAGCAGCCACCGCTCTCCAGCTGCCCAGCTTGGAAGGCAGCAGCTCAGAAGTAAGGGGAATAGTACCACAACCTACAACACCCTCCCCTCCCCCACACGGTTAGGACCCTTCCATTAAAAACACGTGACATTTATGATTTAAATCGCTGAACTCATGAGATTTACGGTTTTAGAATTCTATGACCCTGACATTGGTGAAAATGGACCATGACTTTGGTAGGGCCCGAATTTACTCAGGGAGTTAATGCATGAAGAATACAGCGGGCAGATACCCATAATGACATTCTCATGTGCTAGTAGGGCATGATGGGAGAGATACGTGCTGTACACAGAGGCTACGGAAAAAAGTTTTCCGTTAAAAGCATTTTCGGAACAAAGCGTCTAGATTGGCAGGACGCTTTTCCGCAAAAGCACTTTTTGTGGAAAAGCGTCCGTGCCAATCTAGATGCACTTTTCCACAAAAAAGCCCCGATCGCCATTTTCGCGATTGGGGCTTGTTTGCGGAAAACAAATCTCAGCTGTCTACACTGGCCCTTTTGCGCAAAAGTTTTGTGCAAAAGGGACTTTTGCCCAAACGGGAGCAGCATAGTATTTCCACAAAAAGCACTGATTTCTTACCGTAGGAAGTCAGGGCTTTTGTGGAAATTCAAGCGGCCAGTGTAGACAGCTGGCAAGTTTTTCTGGAAAAGCGGCTGATTTTTTGGAAAAACTGGCCAGTCTAGACACAGCCAGGGATCCTTCATTGTTCTCCAGTGGGCAGCCTGGAAGTTCATAGACCTCAATGTATTGCATTAGTTCCAGACCTCAGCCATTTCGGTTTAGATGTGACAGATCTGTGGAACCCGCACACCACCAATCAGCAGCAGCACCAGGAGGGCCAACTATGCACCGGAGCCGTGTCTAGCTACAGGGCAGACAGATAAGAGAAGCATCCCTCCAACCTTGGCTTGCTGGAGACCTGCCAGGACTCCTTCCTCTGCTTCCTGCTGCCAGCTCTCCACTGCTTGGAGAGTGGGTTTGCCATTCCAGGAGGGACTGCTCAGACGGCAGGAATGGGCATGTGCCAGCTGGACATCAAGCTGTTGATCACTACCCCTTGAGCCCAGTAATCAAGCCAGCTTTCTATCCATCGTATGAATAGACTGTAAGGTGGATAGATCATTGGGCCCAGCGGGTAGTGCTCAACCGCTCGATGTCTGGTTGGTGGTCGGTTTCAAGTGGAGTGCCCCAGGGGTCGGTTCCGAGGCCAGTTTCGTTCAACATCTTTATTACTGACCTGGACAAGTTTGCAAATGACACTAAACTGGGGGAGAGGTAGATATGCTAGAGGGTAGGGATAGAGTCCAGAGTGACCTAGACAAATGGGAGGATTGGGCCAAAAGAAATCGGGTGATGTTTGGAAGAATCCCAAGCATTGTTACAGGCTGGGGACCGACTGGCTAAGCAACAGTTTGTCAGAAAAGGACTTGGGGTTACAGTGGATGAGAAGCTGGAGATGAGACAACAGGGCGCCCTTGTAACCAACAAGGCTAATGGCATATTGGGGTGCATTAGGAGGAGCATTGCCAGCAGATCTAGGGAAGTGATTATTCCCCTTTATTCAGCACTGGTGAGGCCACATCTGGAGTATTGTGTCCAGTTCTGGGCCCCCCACTATAGAAAGGATGTGGACGCATTGGAGAGGGTCCAGTGGAGGGCGACCAAAATGATTCGGGGGCTGGAGCACGTGACCTATGAGGAGAGGCTGAGGGACTTGGGCTTGTTTAGTCTGCAGAAGAGAAGAGTGAGGGGGGATTTGAGAGCAGCCTTCAGCTCCTGGAAGGGGGGTTCCAAAGAGGCTGGAGAGAGGCTGTTCTCAGTGGAGCAGATGGCAGAATGTGGAGCAATGCTTGTAGTAGTCAAGATTTACCGTTGTGATGTCCTGACAGGTCTCCTGCTCTGTCGGTGGTGAGAACCAGAAGGCTGCCTGCGGGTGTGCTCAGTCACGTGGGCCCTGTCGACTTGTGCAATTAGTCACCACAGCAGACTCCGAGAAAGACCCCAAAGACCCCAAATCAGAGAAGGGCCGAAGGTGCCTGGCCAGGGTTATCGTTAAGAGAAGTACAGTCATAGCTGTGAGACTCTACCCAAGCACTACGCACATGTACCCCGTAACAATGCCCTCGGCTCAGTCAGCGAGAGGTCTCACTGCCCCGTAGGTCACACAAAGACAGCCCCTCCAAAACACCAATTTATATACAGATACAACAAGTTACACCTCTCGCCTGACATGTCAGGTTACCACCCTCTGCTGCACTTGGTGGTTGGATTAGAAGATCCCCCGTATCCCTCACGCTGTTGGTTTAGACCCTTTTCGAACCTGGGTCAGTACCTGGGGAGTGTGGGTACCAAGTCAGCGGTACCAATGTGCTTTCAACCTATGCCCAGCACCAATTACATAACATAAGAACATAAGAACGGCCGTACTGGGTCAGACCAAAAGTCCACCTCGCCCAGTATCCTGTCTGCCGACAGTGGCCAACACCACGTACCCCGGAGGGTAGACAATGATCAAGCGATTTGTCTCCTGCCATCCATCTCCAGCCTCTGACAAACAGAGGCCAGGGTCACCATTTCTATCCCCTGGCTAATAGCCTCTTATGGACCTAACCTCCATGAAATTATCTAGCTTCTCTTCAAACTCTATTATAGTCCTAGCCTTCACAGCCTCCTCTGGCAAGGAGTTCCACAGGTTGACTGGGACTCCAATTACTGGTCTATACCTGGGCCTATTGCCAGTTAATGTTTTGCTCTCTCAGCTCTGTTCATGCCAGTTCCATGAGCAGGGACCTGCCTTAAGCCAAGTGTTGTCTGTTGTTAGCTAGGCCTCAGGCCTCGAACCAGGCCTGTGCTACGGGGGCTTTCGTTTCAGGCCCTCATCTTACTACAACGGTCTCAAGTTGCAGTGGGGGAGGCCTAGGTTGGATATTAGGAAAAACGATTTCCCTAGGCAGGTGGGGAAGCGCTGGGCCGGGTTCCCGAGGGAGGGGGTGAAGTCTCCATCCCTAGAGGTGTTTAAGTCCCGACTTGACAAAGCCCTGGCTGGGCTGATTGAGTTGGGATTGGTCCTGCTTTAAGGAGGGGGCTGGACTGGACGACTCCTGACGTCTCTTACAGCCTAGGATTCGATGGACAAAGCCAGCGCAACCAAAGCCTGAGCTGGGAGAAACAGCAGGGCAACCTGAGCATTTCCCCAGCCCACCTAAGAACCAGCCACTGCCCGAAGGGAAGGAAATTCCCTCCCCAGGCACTGAGGAGGCTGGAGGGAGGGCAGAGGCTGTGAGTGTTGGGTGGATGTAGAGCTTCCTCTCGGATACCTGGGATTTCTGTTGCACTCCCCCCGCATGGCTACTGTTTGCCACAGCCCTGGGGGGTGCCCAGGCTAATCAAGGTGTGTAGTCCCCTTACTTAAGGGGCCTCTGTTTTATTCTGAAAAGACCCTGTGTGCTACAATCCAGACTACAATTCCCATGAGCCCTTGGGAAAAAGACAGGAAGAAAGGACTCTTGTGGGAGAGAGGAGGCTCGCTCCATGTGCTTGAAGAAGAGGCCTGGCAGGCTGGGACTCTGCCTTGCAGTTTGGAACCGAAGCGGGAGCCAGGCTGCTGCCAGGACATTGACCCAGTGCAGGGGCTGTTGGATGCAGCTACCGGATGCCTGTAGGAACTGGGAGTTAGCAGGCTGCTTCCGATGGGCCCAGCATGAGGCAGTAAGTTTGCGCCTTGCTGGAAGAGGCTGCCTGGGACAGAGCTGCTGTTTAGCCTGGACCAAACCCTCAGGACAGCTGCAACATCAGCGCACCCATACAAGCAAGTCTGGGACTGAGTCCAGGGGTGTGCACACTCTGGGGTGGGGTCACTGTTGTCTGGCTATATAAGCTTCAGTGACTGTGATGTGTTTTGTTAATGCTGTTCCTTGCTAATCTGTTAATCCCTGTGGAGTTAAGGAAAGATGGTTTATTTTAAAGTGTTCCATTAGATGTCTATGATTTGTAGCTGTTCTGGAATTAGATCCAGATTTATGTTGGAATGAGGATATTCCTGGAGGCTCTCAAGGCACCAGTGTGTGTACAAGGCCAGCCAGGTGGAGGCACCGCCACTTTACATTCATTGCCAGCAAGGGACAGCAGCAAGGGGGTGGATAGGGCTTTCCCCAACTAAACACCATCCCCGCTGGGGTGCTCAGGATCTCTTTTGGGTTAAAACATCAGGCGCCCAGGCACACCTGTGAGTGTGACCTGCTCCCCAGTAACCCAGGGAGGAAAAAGGGGGTTACAGGTGCTAGGATCGAGCTGTGCACCAGGTGGTCGTTGGGGGAATTCCTGCCCCCCCAAAGGCTGTCGGGGTTCACAGCATCCCAGCAGAGAGGGAAACACCACTGCTTGCCCTGAAATTTCAATTTCAATGTGATGTTTTATTGAACTGACACAAAGCCAAGTACCGGTCGGTTAACGTGCGTTTTGCAGGGGAAAGGACTATTCCCGCCAGCATGGGTCCTTCTGTTGCAGAGGCACCAGAATCCGCCCTTTTTCAACAGGGACACAGGCAGAACTGCCTTTCCCGTTACGTCTGAACGGAGCCAAGACGCGCCATCTTCAGACCGCTGCGTGGCCCAGGGTTCCCGTAGTAGTGGGACAGAAAAGCACGCTGCGGGGCAGCACGTCGCCGAGGACTGGCACGCAAACCCGTGTTCCCTGCCACGCAAGCACCCAGGTAGAAAGGATCTGAACTCGGTGATCGGCGAACATGGCCCAGGCTGAGGCTTGCAGCCTGCTAGTAGGCCAGCTTCCCCGCCGGGCGTTCTGCTCCCCGCCTAGGCTTATATCAGCCCCTCCCCTGTGGAAGGGGACAAGTTACCGGGGGACATACCCTCCCTCGGTGAAATCAACAGCGCATCACTGTGGCTGGAACAGGGGCGTGACTCAGCGCTGCGGCGCCTCCTGCTGGCCGGTGTCTCACCCTCGGTTACCTGCCTCTTGCCCCTGGTCCAGGCCCTGCATCCCTTCCCTCCCGGTACTATCCCACAGCAGTGCCCCTGCACCCTAGGGCCTTCCCCTCCCAGGGAACCCCAGCCCCTAGGCCCACCTTGCCTCAGTGACCCTTGCCTCAGGGGCAAACTGCAGCCTGACATGGTCACTCCTCATTGGCAAGGGGGTGGACTTGCTGCCCTCTGCAGCCCCCTGCAGCCCTAGTCCCCTCAGGCCTTGAGAGCAAGGCCTCAGCCTGGGAGTTTCCCTGGCCAGAGCCCCCCAGCTCTGCCTGCCTTTCCCCAGCTCTGCTCTGCCTCAGGTACCCTCTGTAGCTCCCCTGGCAGCCACGTCCCTCCTGCTCCCCAGCTGGAGTCAGACTGGCCTCTCCTCCCTCCAGGAGCCCCTATTTATACGGCCCAAGCTGGGCCCTGATTGGCTGCCACGTGCCTCAGCAGCTGGCTCCATGTCTCAGCCCTCCCCAGGCCCGGGTTTAACCCTCGCTAGGCCAGCATGGGGAAGACGCCCCCATCACCGTGGCCAATGGAGCTACAGGACTCTGGCCCGTGGCCTTCCTTCCCGCCACACCAGGAAGGACAGGGGAGTGGCCCTCCAGTTGCGGATGAGCCAGGGTGCATCTTGTTATACCCTCTATCAACCCTTTCCTCCAAGCAATGCGGCCCTGGAGATGGGGGGCTGGTCCCCCCACACTCACCAGCAGCAGCAGGCAGCGGAGTGACCTGGCACCAGCCTGCTCCGCCCTGCCTGCTCCCAGCTGTGTGACTCCACTTCCCGACGCCGGTGAGAGCAGGGACGATCCCACCTTTCCCCCCAAGCTCCATCCCCCGACTCCTGCTGCCTCCCAGCCCTGCTTCTGCCCCCCAGCGCTCCTGCCCCCCGCGGCCCGGAGCGCAGCCCTCCCCTGCAGGGCGCCCAGCTTTCTAGGGACGGCCTGTCCCAGCGGGCACAGGGCACAGAGATGGAGCAGGAGGGTCTGTTTGGGATCTAGTGCCCGCTGGAGTCAATGGGATTCCACGGGGCGCTGGACCAGACCCACAAGGAGGGGCCCAGAGGCGGCTTAATGCACCCGCCCGCTGTTATTTCCGCCTCTGTGTTCCCCTGTTGAATTCTGAACGGGCCTCTCGACAGCTTTGCAAGGTACCGTTGAGCAGGGGCCGGTTTCCCCAGCCCATGGCGCCGATCGGGGCGTTTTTCCCTCCCTGAGGAGGGGAAGGTGCATGAGCCGCCCGTCTGGATAATACAATAACCAGAGGCGGCTTAATGCACCCGCCCGCTGTTATTTCCGCCTCTGTGTTCCCCTGTTGAATTCTGAACGGGCCTCTCGACAGCTTTGCAAGGTACCGTTGAGCAGGGGCCGGTTTCCCCAGCCCATGGCGCCGATCGGGGCGTTTTTCCCTCCCTGAGGAGGGGAAGGTGCATGAGCCGCCCGTCTGGATAATACAATAAAAGAGAGGCGGGGGCAAGGGGCGCACGAGCAGACGAGCCTTTCACTGAACAGACCCCCAGAGCACACGCCTCGCAACGGGCCGTGTCATGGGGCCCTTCCACCTCTTCTTCCACCAGGGGTTCAGAGAACTTGGGCTTTGCCAGGGATTCCCGGTAGCATTTCTGCAGGATCTTCCGCACCAAGTTGTCCAGGATCCTCTCCATGGCCTCCTGGGTGAAGACGGGCTTCTCGAACCGAGCCGCCCAGCACTTCTTACACGTCTGGCCGAACAGCCTCATCTTCACCCGGCCCTGCCTCTGCGCCAGGTGCATCTGGAAGAGAAGCACCACCTGCGCCGATGGCCAGCGGCGGGAGCAGCCGGAGCATTCAAACCTGCAGAAGCAAAGGAGGGGGCGTTTAGCCGGGCGCCCACCAGGCGTCTGCATCCGCCACCTGCCAGCCCGCCCAGCACTGCAGCTGCGATATGAGCCCACGGATCCTGGGCTTACCCCTGTCCCCATCACTGCCCACCCGCCCAGAGTTGGGGCCCACCCAGGTGAGTCTTTCTGGCCACACCTTTGCCCCAAACTCGATGAGGAGAGACCCATCAGCCACTGACATTGGGCTTCATCCTGCAAGGCTCTGAGCACCTCCCAACAGCACTCAGCACTCAGGGGTGAACCCCTGTATGGCCTTGTCCTAACAGCAGTAACTCACAATCACCTTAACTCTGCCCCCCAAGCAGATGGAGCAGATGGGCAGCTTCCGCCAGTGTCCCCGTTGGACTCCATGAAGTTGTGCTCTTAATAGCTAGCCCTTTCTCTGGCCACTGACTCCCCCAGGGAAAAACTCCAGTGCAACGACGTTTCCTCCGCGCTTGGGGTGGAAAATGCTACTAAACAGGAGGCCAATGTGCGGGACCCTCCCGGTGACTCATCGGCATTCAGGGCCAGGAGCTGTACTGCTACATCACTGGGGCTAGCCCAACAGATCCTGTTCCTACCCCTCTGCCCTGCCCGCCCGGCTTCCTTCCTCCCGGAAGCTCTGCTCCGAGCCCTGGGTAGAATTCACTTTGGAGCTAGGGCTGCCAGATGGTTCCAACAGAAATCCCGGGCTAGCCTGTGCCTGACGTGACATCACAATCGCCATTCCATCTCAATTAGAAAACACCGGACAGTTCTATTTCCTCATTTCCATTTTCTCCGTTTGGTTCCCGAACAGAAAGCTCAAGTACGGGACTGTCCGGTTCAAAACCGGACACCTGGCCACCCTATCTGGAGCATGGGCGGCTGGTAGCAAAGGCCAGGGCAGGCTATGCCTCCCTTAACCCAGGCCAGGGCCCTGCCCACGCTCTGCCCTGATGCTCCGCCCTTGGCTCACCCTCCTCCAAAGCCAGTGGGGGCTCACTAGGGTTCAGGATGGTTTGGTTGGGGCTCCTCCAGCCTCAATGTGGGGCCTCAGAACTCTGGCAGGCAAGGGAGGCGGAAGGGCGGGGCCTCAGGCTGTGGGGGCGGGGCCTCAGGCTGCGGGGGCGGGGCCTCAGGCTGGGGGGGCGGGGCTAGTTTCCCTAAAGGGGGTTCCTACCCCGCCCATGCCTTTGTGCATCATTCACTGCCCTGCTTCTCTGCTCCACCCTCACCTGGCAAACGCTTTTCCTTGCTGGTACAGCTGCCATCCAGGCTCAAGGTTTCGTGGACTGAGGTTATCCTCCGGGGTGAGCGACCACTTGTCTCTGGGCTTCTCCCAGGCCATCTTCTGCGCAAACATCCTCTGCCAGGTTTCCATGTTCTCCCCTGCCCCTTCACAGCCTCCCTTGGGCAGGGCAGTCACTGTCTGAGCCAGGAACTCAGTGATTTACATAAGGGAGCCAGCTGCAAGGCAGGGCTCCCGGGTCTGCCACCTTCCCCTCCGTCCCTGAGAAACGAAAGTGAAAGGGAGCTGATCTGCTTTGGGGCCGGACTGCCCCGCCCACAGGGATTAACTCCCTGGCCCTGCGGAGCTCCCTTGTTCTGCTCTCTGGCTGTAAATTGTCTAGGTGCCACTCCCCAGAGCAGTGACCCACACTAGGGCTACGTCTAGACTGACATGATTTTCCACAAATGCTTTTAACGGAAAAATTTTCCGTTAAAAACATTTGCAGAAAAGAGCGTCTAGATTGGCAGGATGCTTTTCCGCAAAAGCACTAGACGTGGCCAATCTAGACGCGCTTTTGCGCAAAAAAGCCCCGATCGCCATTTTTGCAATCGGGGCTTTTTTGCGCAAAACAAATCTGAGCTGTCTACACTGGCCCTTTTGCGCAAAAGGACTTTTGCCCAAACGGGAGCAGCATCGTATTTCCGCAAGAAGCACTGATTTCTTACATGAGATCGTCAGTGTTCTTGCGGAAAGTCAAGCGGCCAGTGTAGACAGCTGGCAAGTTTTTCCGAAAAAGCAGCTGCTTTTGCAGAAAAACTTGCCAGTCTAGACACATCCCTAGGTGTTTAGGTTACGCTTATAGAACGTTGACAGAAAACATCCATGCTTATTTCTAAGCTTTTTTTATTTTTATGTGTATGTTGATCTCTATACATTTTCACAGCTGCAAAACATAATGGCTGTGTCTAGACTGGCCACTTTTTCCGGAAAAGCAATCGCTTTTCTGGAAAAACTTGCCAGCTGTCTACACTGGCCGCTTGAATTTCTGCAAAAGCACTGACGATCTCATGTAAGAAATCAGTGCTTCTTGCGGAAATACGATGCTGCTCCCGTTTGGGCAAAAGTCCTTTTGCGCAAAAGGGCCAGTGTAGACAGCTCAGATTTGTTTTGCGCAAAAAAGCCCCGATTGCAAAAATGGCGATCGGGGCTTTTTTGCGCAAAAGCGCGTCTAGATAAAAAGTGCTTTTGCGCAAAAGCATCCGTGCCAATCTAGACGCTCTTTTCCGCAAATGCTTTTAACAGAAAAACTTTTCCATTAAAAGCATTTGCGGAAAATCATGCCAGTCTAGACGTAGCCAACGGGTGAGGCTTTTTCCCTGCATTTTTATTGATTTACATGTTCATCGTTCTCGGAAATTCTGAGGCAGTCGAGTAAGCGGGGAGTCTAGCAGTCAATATTTAATGAAAGCTGTCATGGCTCCTTCCCCACTCTGGCATGATAAATGCAGAAGTGAGGGCCAGCAGGTGCACCCCAAAGCCTTATCTGCCACGCATGGGAATAAAACTTCCCCCCAAAATCTTCAAAACCTAGATTTTGGGAATAAAACTTCTGCTACCACCCCCCAAATATTAAGAAAGCAATCAGGGGAAAGATCATTTGGGAAATCTCACCCCTAAAATAAAAATCAGGGCACACAATTAACCAATGCCAGGTTAATAAAAAGAAAAGAGAAAACTTTTATTATCACAGCAATATTCCTGTTGCAAGCATCATAAGTAGATGGTAAGATCACAAAATATACTCATGGAGGAATTACACCATAGGCTAGAACGTAGTTAAAAAGAAAAGCCAAACATCTTTTAAGCAGCGCCAGACATCAGATCCCATAACCAATCCTTAAAACAATAAAGCCTAACGAATTTATCTAAACTTTACCCTACTTACAGAAAGTGAAGAATTGTGTCTTTGAGAGAGAGAAACATGTCTCTCTCTCTCTCTAGCTGCAGAGGAACTCACAGAGACCAAGGAGGGAAAACCCAAATTCCTTTGTCCCCGTTGAAAGTGCTACCTACATTCCTATTGGCCACTCCACCTGGCTAGGTGTAGTTAACCCCTTAGTCCCCAGGCTGCTGGCCCTCTCTCATAATCATAATCATGACAAAAGCCAAGACTGCAATTCGAAAAGTTAAAACGTCGTCACTGAGACAGCACAAACTGTCCACCTCTTGTGCCGAAACAGACCAAGGAAATATCCTGCAATCACATTCTATAGTCTCGAGCTGTGTTGTTTTTCCATTGCCTATTGATCAATTTCAATTCGTGATGGAAATATTTTTTCACTGGCTTTTTGTCTGTGGTGAAAATGGGCATGTACCGATTTACAGATCACACCTTAATCCTTGAAAGCTCGATTATTATCCAGGTTATTGCAATTCGCTTCCCTTCAGGGCAGGGGTGAGCGCTGACTTGACGCTACTTGGCTGTGAAGTAAAGCAGAACAAAAATGAGCAGTGCCAGAAAAATGACCACACAGCAACTGTAGCAACACCAACGCCGCCAGTTACAGCTGCTCTCCCCGCCGGAGCTGTTCTCCCCCTCTGCGTCGCTCCAGTCCTGCTGGGCAGGGAAGACGCGTGGGAAGAGGGAAACAGCCCTAAAGAAGGGCTTGGTTGGTGCTTGGGCTTCATTTTTCACGAAACAGATGCCCAGCCGGCAAGCTTCACAGTGGGCGCTGTCGTGGGGCCCAGTCGTCTGATCTTCCACGATGATCTTGGACAGCTCTTTGGGATGGATGGCATCCCTGTAGCATTTCCCACTGATCTTCAGCACCAGGTTCTCCACGACTCTTGTGACGTGCTCCTGGCTGAATTCGGGCTGCTCCAGTTTCGGCAGGAGGCATTTCTTGCACTCTTGTCTGAAGATTCTCATCCTCACCCAGCCCCGACTCTGCCTCCGGTCCAGGTGCATGTGGAAGAGAATATTCACCTGAGCTGACTGCCAGGCATGCCAGCACTGTGAGCACTGGAACCTAACCGGAGAAAGCAGGAGACAAAACTTAACCCAGAGTCAAAGCCCTGAACCAGCAGCAGCGGCTAAGCTGAGATCTTAGCTTCTACCCACAGGATGGTCTGCATTCACAGGAGGGTGGTGAGCAAGACCCGAGAAGTCATTCTTCCACTCTACCCCGTGCTGATTAGGCCTCAGTTGGAGTGTTGTGTCCAGTTCTGGGCACCGCATTTCAAGAAAGATGTGGAGAAATTGGAGAGGGTCCAGAGAAGAGCAATAAAAATGATGAAAGGTCTAGAAACCATGAGCTAGGAGGGAAGACTGGAAGAATTGGGCTTGTTTCGTTTGGAAAAGAGAAGGCAGAGAGGGGACGTGAGAGCTTTCAAGTACCTAAAAGGTTGTAACAAGGAGGAGGGAGAAAAATTGTTTTTGACCTCTGAGGATAGAACAAGAAGCAATGGGCTTAGATTGCAGCAAGGGCGGTTTAGGTTGGATGTTAGGGAAAACTTCCTACCTGTCAGGGTGGTGAAACACCGGAATAAATTGCCCAGGGAGGTTGTGGAATCCCCATCTCTGGAGATATTGAAGAGCAGGTTGGACAGACACCTGTCAGGGATGATCTAGATGGTATTTGGTCCTGCCGTGAGGGCAGGGGATGGACTCGATGACCTCGCGAGGGCCCTTCCAGTTCTAGGGTTCTGTGATTCTATGATGGGAGAGGTCAAGATTGGATATTAGGACAAACTGTTTCCCTAGGAGGGTGGGAAGCACTGGGCTGGGTTCTCTATGGAGGGTGGAATCTGGCTGGGATGATTGAGTTGAGGTTGGTCCTGCTTTGGGCAGGGGCCTGGACTCGATGACTCCTGAGGGCTCTGGGATTCTATGATGGGTTGCAGAGCGTTGTCTGCAGGAGATGTGGCTGGAGAGCTCCATCTACTAGCACTGAGGAATGTATAGCGCTGTTCATGCGGTCGTAGGGTCAATACAGCTGCTCTTGTTATACCCTACCAGCGGTTTCCGGCACGAGGCCACTCTCGCCAGACTGCTCCTGCTCCTCCAGATGATGGACGCTGAGAGCTGCTGTTAGCCACAGCTGTCCGACAATCCGACTGCCACGGCGTCTAGTGGCCTCTGGACAATGCCTACCCTCCCTTCCTGATCTGGAGCAGCAGCTATTGGATCCTGACCCGACACATGACTTTTTGCAACCCTGACCCACGTGCTGGGAGTAGGGTGAGGAAATGAAGACCGGTCCGTGACCAGCCCCGCCGCATGCCAGGCCCCTGCTGTGTCTGGCACCACAGCACCCTTGGCCACCTTCACAACCCTCCTCCAAAGCAACGGTTCCAAGAAGGCTTCCGAGCAGTGCCTCCCGACGGCTTAACAATCATAACGGGCTAAACATCCCCTTTGGCCCAGTCTAATGAACGCTTTCTAGGGCAGAGATTCATTGCTCTGTGGCTGGAGAGTGCCTAGAACAAGGGAATCCTTTGATCATTTTTGTTGTTCTTCTCTGGACCTTCTCCAATTCCTCCACGTCTTTCCTGAAATGCGGTGCCCAGAACCGGACACAATCCTCCAACCATGGCCTAATTAGCGCAGAGTAGAGCGCTGATGATAATGATCCTCTTAGTGTTCAGTGGAACAACGTCTTGTTTGCTGCCTCCGTATTTGCTCCCAGAATCCCTTCCGCAAGCCGCTCTGAGGCTGCTGCATGGCCACAGCTACCAGCCCCAGGCTCCTGCTGACCTGTCCCTTGTTCTATGGGGAAGTTTTTCTTCACACAGCACACGGTCAACCTGTGGAACTCCTTGCCAGAGGATGGTGTCAAGACCAAGACTTTAACAAGGTTCAAAAAAGAACTAGATAAACTCATGGGCTGTGTCTAGACTGGTATGATTTTCTGGAAATGCTTTTAACAGAAGAGTTTTCCGTTAAAAGCATTTTTGGAAAAGAGCGTCTAGATTGGCACGAACGCTTTTCCGCAAAAGCACTTTTTGCGGAAAAGCGTCCGTGGCCAATCTAGAGGCACTTTTGCGCAAAAAAGCCCCCATCGCCATTTTCGCGATCGGGGCTTTTTTGCGGAAAACAAATCTGAGCTGTCTACACTGGCCCTTTTGCGCAAAAGTTTTACGCAAAAGGGACTTTTGCCCGAATGGGAGCAGCATAGTATTTCCGCAAAAAGCACTGATTTCAGACAGTAGGAAGTCAGTGCTTTTGCGGAAATTCAAGCGGCCAGTGTAGACAGCTGGCAAGTTTTTCTGGAAAAGCGGCTGATTTTCTGGAAAAACTGGCCAGTCTAGACACAGCCAGGGATCTTAGGTCCATCAATGGCTGTTAGTCAGGATGGGTAGGGATGATGTCTCTGGCCTCCATGAGTCGGGGCTGGAAATGGGTGACAGGGAGAGATCACTGGATGATTCCTTGTTCTGTTCACTCCCTCAGGAGCACCTGGCATTGGCCACTGTGGGCAGACAGGACACTGGGCTGGATGGACCATTGGTCTGACTACGTCTGGCCACTCTTATGTTCTATGATCCACACTAGCCCTGAGGAGCATCCTCTCCTTCCCAAGCCATGCCTGGCCCTGAGACATAAAGAGTCGGCAGCAAAACTGACGCAGCTGGGGCACGGTGCCTCCGTGGGCACCCCGAGGAGAGCTAGCTCAGCCTAATTCAGCCTCCATACGGCTGTAGGCATGGAGCCCTGGGGATGGGGAAATAGCCACAGGGGATGAAAATCTCAGAGGCCCTGAGACAGATTTCAAGATATTTCTCCCCCTGCCTCCCAGGGCTTTCTCAGGCCTAGCACACTCCAGAGCACTCGCTGATTGCCATAAAAACCCAGCAGCCAGATCCGACCACCATGGCCGCACTGCAAATATTTAGGTACCTAGACGCGGCTAGCATCAGTCACGTCATTATTCCTGAAGATTATGCACCATCAACGACGGCTTTTTTTTTTTTTTTGGTTAGTGAATCATTCATAACCTGATCCTACATCCCCCTCCCACCCCACTGATTCCCTATTTGTAAGAGTTCACCTAATAGTCTGGCCTAAACCAGGGGTGGGGAACCTCAGACCCGGGGGCTGGATGCAGCACTCAGACCCCCAAAGCTCAGCAATGGGGAGTCCGCACTAGCGCTCCTGCCATCCACCCGCAGGGCTGGAACGCACGAAATCTACTAACCTGGGCCTCCGTTGGCTCTGGAGTGTGAGGGGAATGTGGGCAGGGTCTTTTCGGGCTTCTCACGTGGGTGCAGCCCCCGACTGATTTTCCTGTGGGTCAGCAGCCCCTGACCCTAAAAGTCTTTCTGCCCCCTGAAACGCTTTCACCCACTTGCCACCCTCTGAGCCGCACCGTATTGCTTCAGCTCCCTGATTGGATGGCGAGCACTCTAAAGCAGAGGCAGGCAACCAATCGGGCGCAGGTGTGACGTTTCAGGTGACGACTCAGGACACTCCTGGGTCTCACACACAGTTTGACACCTGCCCATCAGGGGTGCAGATATTTGCAGGTGTTGAATAATGTGACCCCCCCCACGCACACTTCCCGGGAAATGGAACCTGGAGTCCCTAGTCACAAGAATATTACTCTTGCCGGAAAAGTTCACAAATGTCAACAAAAGGGGTGTGACACGTCCACAACTTTTGTCAGTGACCATCTATGTGCTAGAGCTGATAACAGCCTGCCCATCAGGGGTGCAGATATTTGCAGGTGTTGAATAATGTGACCCCCCCCACGCACACTTCCCGGGAAATGGAACCTGGAGTCCCTAGTCACAAGAATATTACTCTTGCCGGAAAAGTTCACAAATGTCAACAAAAGGGGTGTGACACGTCCACAACTTTTGTCAGTGACCATCTATGTGCTAGAGCTGATAACAGGCAAATTGAAAAATTTTAAGAGTGTGTGGAAAAAAACAAAACATTTTTGATTTGATGGAAAACCCTCCAAGATTTTTAAACACCCGCCATATTTCATGAGCATTTCCATTCAGTCCAAAAAGCCACTTCCTTTCAAATAATCAGCGAGGAGGAAGATTTGCCACCAGCTTTTTCTTTATTATTCAACCGGCTCTTAACCGCCTCTGTTAGTGCGGCAGAAGGAAGATGAAGTGGTTCAAAAAGCCATTTCCTAACCCTGTCCCCCACTACCTCCCCCTCACCTGGCAAATGCATGCTGTTGCAGGAATTGCTTCCATCCGGGATCAAGGTCGTTGGACTGAAGGTTATAATCCTCCTTCAGAGTCCACCTGTCCCCCGGTTTCATCTGCTCAATCTTCCGAGCAAATATTTGCTTCCAGAGCTCCATGGTCCTACCCGCTCTGCCGGTGAAGCTGGTTTTGGTCCTGGATGGTGACAGGGATTGGCGAAAGGAATAGAAACCGAAATAGGGTCTCTTGGCTTGTGGCTTCCACGTCTGTGGCTGGGTTGTTGTCTTTTTCCCAGCAAAAAAGTCCACCCCGTGGCATAGAACCAAGTTGGGTGTGTCGGGAAGGTGGACCTTTGCTCCCAAGACAAAGTCCACGCCATACGGAGCCACACCCCGAGGGGGTGTGACACTGCCAGGGCTCCATGGGGTGCCAGCCCGGCAGAATGTGACCAAACAGAGAACAGCGCACCGAAGGTGCCTGCTGGTTTTGCACCTGCAGCTTGGAGGCGTGACTATCTTACTGCCTCTCTATAAATCCACGGCATGCCCATCTCTTGAATCCTGTTGGCGGATGTGGTTGCCTCAGCTCCAAAAAGATCGATTGGCATTGGAAAAGGTTCCAAAAAGGGCAACAAAAAAGATGAGGGGTTTGGAATGAGGAGAGATTAAAAAGCCTGGGACTTTTCAGCTTAGCAAAGAGGAGACTTAAGGGAGGATAGGATAGAGATCTGTAAAATCATGACTGGTGTAGAGAAGGTGAATAAGGAAAAGTTACTTAATTGCTTCCATAACAAAAGAAGTAGGGGTTGCCAAATGAAATGAATAGCTGACAGGCTTAAAACAAACAAAAGGAAGTTTTTCTTTGTGCAGTGCACAGTCAACCTGTGGAACTCCTTGCCAGAGGATGGTGTGAAGACCAGCATTTTAACAGGGTTCAAAAAAGAACTAGATATGTTCATGGAGGAGAGGCCCATCAATATTTATTAGCCAGGATGGGTAGGAATGATGTCCCTCAGCTCTGTGTGTCAGAGGCTGGAAATGGGTGACAGGGGAGGGATCATTGGTCACTGTCGGCAGACAGGACACTGAGCTGTATGGACCTTTGGTCTGACCCAGTCTGGCTGTTCTGATGTTCTTGTGAATTAGTGGAGGTGCATGCTGGTGGGTCTGTCTCACTGTGCCTCTGTGTGTTTCCCACGTCAGCTCAGCACTCACCTGTACCTCTAGTTCCAGCACCTCTGCCAGTGTTCCCTGCAAGCTGAGCACTTGGGCAGCCACCCAGATGGCGCCCAGCTGATCAGCAAAACGCCCAAAGTACCTACAGCTGGCAGCATGTGTTTCTACGGGTGGTGCACATCTGCATATGCCTCAGTGCATATAACAACATTTATTCTGCACAGATATGGAAACAAGGTAAGAGGAAACACGGCTCCAAAGAATTGACAATCAAGATAGATGACACTCAGGAGAGGACTCAGCAAACGCCCCTCACTCCGTTCCTTGCTAGTTTCATTTTGTTTTAACCCACTTCCTACAAATTTGTCCACCCCAAGCTAAGGTGCATAATCTCCGTAGGCCAACACTGGCTATGTGGCTCATCCTTTATCACCTCTTGTTACGACTTCCCCTCCCTACCTCCATAACCTCTTAGGGTCGTTCCCCTCCCCCGCCACAAATGCATTGCAAAGGTTCTTACCAGAATGTTGTTTGCATCTCATGTTCCTTTCCGCCACGTCTTGCCTGACGCTGCCATTTTGATCCTGCCCATCTCTTAGGGACCTTTGCCCTGTGTCCTCTGTATGCTGAGCATTTGGGCGGCCACCCAAGAGAGATTCCAATGAGCAGAGCGCCCCCAGCTGGCAGGCTGTGTTTCTACTGGTGGTGCACATCCGCACATCGGTGCACATAGTAAAATTTATTCTGCACGTAGCTGGAAAAAAATAGAGGAAACGCTGCCTGGAACCAATGACATTTCCTTTTGAAATGCAATGTCTTTGGCTGGCCTCAGCCTTCTCTCTAGGATCATTCCTATGAGCAAGCAAAAACCTGGCCAACAAGTTACACATCCGGGGGAAACGATTTTTTTCTTCCCCGTGGGGTGTTGTTTTTTGTTCATGTTCATATTGCACTCGTGACTTGCGTCTTCAGTCGCAGCACAGAGTTGCCCTGTGCCGGGTGCCGCACAGGCACCGGGAAACAATTGCGACAGTCCTAGCGGAGGGCTGGAGGGGGAACGTGCTGCCGCGCCTGTCCTGCTGCATTTGAAATGTGTTTGGAAAGCAGCACACAGCAGGGCAGCTCTGGAGGGATGAAACCTCTCAGTGCAGGGTTTTGTAGGGTGTCCAGGGAGAGTAGATAAAAGCAGGAGTTTACTACTCATGCTTAGGTGGGGACGGGTCTCCTCCGTAAGGGTGTTTCCTATTTATGCAAGTGTCTTAGGGTATGTCTGCACTTCCACCCTCTTTTGAGAGAGGGATGCCAATGACGACATTCGAAATTGCAAATGAAGCCGGGATTTAAATATCTTGAGCTTCATTTGCATATTCGCGTTATGGCGCTATTTCGAAATAACAGATGCTGTGTAGACGCGGTTATTTTGAGAGAAAACCCTTCTCTCGAAATAACCCTTATTCCTCATACAATGAGGTTTACCGGTGATTTCGAGAGAAGGGTTTTCTCTCGCAATAACCGTGTCTCAACAGCGTCTCTTATTTCGAAATAGCGCCATAATGCGAATATGCAAATGAAGGGCAGGATATTTAAATCCTGGCTTCATTTGCAATTTCGAATGTCTTCCTTGGCATCCCTCTCTCAAAAGGGGGTGCAAGTGTAAACATGCCCAAAATGAGTCTGAGGCCGGCTCCCCTGATGTGGACGGGCTACCTCGATTGAGAGCCCCAGGAGGTGCCGTAGAGTCATTACTCTGAATGGCCCTGGGAAGGCGCTAGTTCGAAATAGCAGCC